AAAAAAAGAAAAACAGAACTGAAGAAGACAACGGTAGTACAAGCTTTCCTTGCCTCCTGCTAGTTATCCTGGGCGGCAAGGCTCCAATTTTCAGCTGTATGACACAGTGAGATAAGCTGCAACAATAGAAAGCCAAACAATGCAACTCCTGCCTCTGGGTGTCTGGAAGTCATGATCCCAATGTATTCACAACTTTTGCTGCCAACTTCAGGGAGCGAAAATGAATCTCATCTTCCCAGAGGCAAAAGGCACACCGCCTGGAGCTAGAGAAAGCTCCCTGCCTCTCACCCCTCCAGGCATCCAGCTTCTACCCCAAAAAGAATGGCCTAGAGATGGGAGCAGGATGATCTGAAACAGAAGATTACAAGCTTCACATTGGCCTATGGGCCTTAGCATGCCTACCTCTGTGTAACCACCTGCTGGGACTGGGCATGTGTTTAATGCTTTCTTTTTATAACCTACGTAGATCAGATCTGCTTTTTCATTTCTTTTGGCAATGGAACACAGTTTTATATTATTATTGTTGGCAGACATTCCGTTTGGGATTATGTCTTTGCTTGGGACCTACAGGTGTGACAAACTGAATGAGAGAGAGGCAGCATGGTGTAATGGTCTGAGTGTTGACTATGATTCTGGAGACTAGGCTTGAATCCCCACTTGGCCATGGTGACCTTGGGCAAGTCCCACTCTCTCAGTCTCAGAGGAATAGCAATGACAATAGTACTTACATTTCTATACCGCTTTATAGTGCTACGCACTCTCTAAGTGGTTTACAATGTGTAAGCCAATTGCCCCCAACAAGCTGGGTACTTATTTTGCTGACCTACAAAAAGGATGGAAGGATGAGTCAATGTGGAGCCCTGCAGGATCAAACTTACAATGTTTTGGCTGTGGTATCAACATTTAACCACTGACCCCCTCTGAATAAATCTTGCCAGGAAAACCCCATGATAGGTCCAGCATAGGGTCGCCCTAAGTCAGAAGTGACCTGAAGGCACACAACAATAACAACTATTTTGACAAGTAAATAACAAATGAAAAAGTCATCCAAATTTTTGAAGAGGGGCCAGGTTAGAACACAACACATGGTTGACATGTTTTGTTTTAGACACTGGTGACTTGTCATTTGCTTTGATTTTAAAACTGCCATTTTGTTTCTCCTCCACCATGCTTATAGTCCTGAACAGTTGTCACCAACTTTAAATGGCAACTGCTATGACAGTAAGGTGTCTTAGTGGTCACTGCCATAGCATGGTGGCATCTATTGATCTGTGGGCACAATGTGGGGTTGGGAATTCAGTGCAATCCTCCTAAGAACAGGAAGGTGCCCTCTGTATGTAAGATAGGATTAAACAGTGGGGATAATTATTTTAAAGTTTGGACTGAAACCCAGAGCAGATTCCCCAGACCACTGACATGGAACCCAGAGGTGTAACTATCCCACATCTTCCTCTGTACAGCCAGGAAAAATAAATAATAACTGAATTGGGTTTGGAGGAGGTAATAATAATAAAAAAAGAACAACGGGGCAGATAAGCAACAATCTAATCATTTTGCCTCTTGGGGCAAGAACAAAACAAAACAAGATGGCACCCAGCTCCATTTCATGTAAAGAAACTGACAGCACCAGCAGTTGAATTTTCCTACAGCGCTCATAATAGGACAATGCCATCTGCAACACCAGTGGGCCAGCCAAGGAGACATGAGGGAGCTCTAGAGGCTATGTCCTCCAACAACTTACCTTGACTCGCAGTCTCCATCTTGCTGCCTGAGGCAACTGCTTCATTCTACCTCATGACAGAACTGGACCACTGCCACATCCTACTTCATGAGTTAGCCCTCATTGTTTAACTTTGGGGGAGGAAAAGAAATTATAACTAGTAGATCCAGATATAATAGATTTTTGCATCACTGTGGGTTGTCGGTGACTGGTTGCAGTTGTATTTGAAATCCTGAATGTCAAATGGTGTTTTAAAAAGCATTAAAATGGATGAATTAACAAGAGAGAAAGAACTCAATACTCTTGTTCTGTGATTTTTTTAAATAGCAGGAGCTGGAAGTAAGAAGTGGAAGGGGGTGTCTTTTTGACATTAAAAAAAAAAATCCAGTGAAATAGGTTTTTGCCTGAAATTACCTCCATGTTCTATTAGCAAATATGAGACTCCAGAAATGATTTCTCTCAGTGTGTCTTTCCCCCTCCCTTTACCTTTTTCCTGTGCATGCCCTTAAAGTCTGCAATTAAGATAACACACGATAAAAATCAGCCATGCATTGGGGAAAGAGAGGGAGAAAGAACGCCATGACTTGTGCTTATGTAGTTGTTTTTTTTAAAAAAATAAACCTCACAGAAATTGTGCCTTTGAGGTCAAGACATGGTTCCACTGGGGGAATGGAAGAAAATGCTGTGCTGATAATGCTCTATAATGAGTTGAAACATAGGTTGGATCCTGAATCTCCAGAATAGAAGAGAAGGCAAAGGAGGTGCGGAAGGTTGGAGGAAAAGAACCAGTGAAAACTGTTGCAAGGTCTCATGGGAAACCTTTAAAGAAAAATGCCCTTAGATCTCTTCCATAAGGCAAGACAACTTAGAGAAGGTATACCCCCAAATGCTCAAAAATCCCATGGCTGAGATCCTACCCTGCAGCTGTGTGACATAAATCTTTGTGCACACATTCATTCCTCAGGGCAACCCTTGTGTTGAAAGGCAACACAGTGCAGCTGAACCCAGACACAAGGTCCTCATCCACATGCACAAACAGATATATACAAGGATATATGAACAATGCACAATGTATATCCAAACAGGATGAGTATTCAGGTGCACTGAAAGTGGAGATCCTCAGATCAGTGCAAGTCCATGAACCATTGCTTGCCTAGTCCATGGAAAGTTTCTAGGAAAGAAATAGTTATAATGAATGCACACAAATGTGGTAGCAGTCCTTAGCACATTAGGAAAAAGCAATTGTCTCACCTAGACTGAGAACCACTGATCCAGTGTCCAGAGGCTCCCAAAACCTTGTTCTCCAAACCAGATCTCCCCAGATGTTGTTTGACTACAATGTCATGGTCCTTGACCCTTGATCATGTTGAGTAAAGATTATGGAAATTGAAATCCAGCTACATCTGGATGCTGAGTGCAGTCAAGACTGCTATGGAGAGATTGGTAAGCTAAGCAGGCCACTAACCAGACCAGCCTTCCCTTCTTAAATACAAAGCATAAGTATAGAAGTTTCAGAAAAATGCAGAACTGGTCATTGCTTTTGAGAGAGAAATGGATGCTTCAGTGGCAGGATTTCACCCGTGGTGATAACCTGGCTCTTTGACAGACAATCTGAGACAGATTCCTGCCAAGGTCAGTGACCACTTGGGTTTCTATGCAGTAACCTTCTTGGCTTCAAAGAGAGAATGCTTTTTCTCCAGGTCTTATCAGCATCCCACAGGGGAGTTTTTCAACTCTGCCATCCATCCAACTCCAAAACGTCTGAAATGCTGCTGAAAACAGTGAGCCGAGCTGACCTGGTGAGATGGTCAAGGGCAGCCATTTCACTTATAAATTGCTGCCTTCACACATTCCTAGATTCTAGCTGACACCTCATGGCCATCTGCAATGAAACATAACCTCTCTGCTGCTTGTGTTTTTTTGTCAAAGCCACCTTGCCCAAAAGGGTTAAGGTAGCTACCTGCTGGATAAACTGCCGCACCCAACCTTCTCTTCCTCCTCCCCCCCAAATTCATTATCCTCTCTTTTTGACTCATCACAAACAGAGCACCTTCCCAGCAATTTATCATGTTTGTGCTCATTTGTTTCCCTTCAGAGACTCTTTCAGACACTATTCTCGGTGACCTCTGGCAAGAGAAAGGGGAGTGCACACAATCTGAGGCTGGCATTATGCACCGTGAGTGACAAATGGGTTTACGTTTTTTGTGGAGTTGAGGGGCTTGAAGTGGGGGAAGGAATGGTTTTATTTCAAAGTTTGGGAAGACAAAACTTTAGTTTTGAAGCTTTAAAAAATGCCCTGGCAATTCTAGCAAAAATCCCATGGTTCTCCTCGAATTCCTCATCCCAGGTTTTCATGGGATGGACCCAAGACAATTCAAGTGCTTGTTGTTATGTGCCTTCAAGTCACTTCCAACTTACGGGTGACCCTAAGGCAAACCTATCATGGAGTTTGATTGGCAAGATTTGCTTACAGGGGGTTTGCCTTTGCCTTCCCCTGAGGCTGAGAGCATGTAACTTGCCCAAGGTCACTTAGTGAATTCCATGGCTGAGCAGGGAATCAAACCCTGGTCTCCAGAGTCATAGTCCAACACTCAAACAACTGTGCCATACTGGCTCTATTTAGTAGAGAAGACCCAATTGAAACAATTGCTGAATGATAAGCCAACACATGGTTCAAGTGGTATGAAAGTGACAGAACTGTGCAGTGTGGATGTACACCTGGTTTCGGTTGTACTCACATATATTTGCACCTGTTTCCTCTGCTGGTCAGCAAGCTGGTTAAGATACAAATTCTCCCTTGTAAATATCAGGAAAAAAACCTAGGATCATTTGCAAAAGAACTATCTTTGTAGACACAGGAGCTTAGGTAATCCCAGTGATGATCCACTCCATCACAGACATCTTCTGTCTTTTCCCCATCACCTTGGCGTACATCCCTGGATGAGGCCGAGAGCTCTTTTCAAATCTTTCAATTGCCTAGTTACCATGTTAGTATTGATGACAAACTCAGTGAAACACCAGCTGTTTCACCCAGCTTCATACTAGTTACCTTCTCCTTGCTCTGTTTCCTTTCTGGTCTCTCAATCTCTGGTTTCCATTTTTTTTTTAATTTCAAGTCTGCATTCAGCTGTTGAAAGCATCCACGCTGTGCCTCCTACCTATGTTTATTCCAGCACTTTTGCTCTGAAAATCAAATTCGTTAACCAGGATAAACAAGCTAATTGTCTTGATCTGGAGATGTATTCAAACAATGAGCTTCAGCTTATTATGTTCGAACACCATGTGGCATTAGCAGAGACCAGATTGTCATATTCAACTTTGCATCATGCATTATAAGTTATATTCAGTGCACATTTTCCCCTGCCTCAGCACCTCTAACTCATCCCTTCATTTTGGGCTGCAAAATAGACATATCATCAACATAACCGTCCATTTTAGATATGAATATCTCCTTTTTACACCCTCCTTTTTACACCCCATCTCCATAATACATGGATTTCCCTTTGAGCAAGTGTTGGGGAGAAGATAACATTATAATTTGAAAATCTAGGAAGAAACTGGGATGAGGATAATTTTCCAAGGCTATCTAGTTATTTATCATTAGAGAAGGATACATTTGTAAGGCTTCCCCCTATAGCTTCTTAACAAAGAAAATGAACCAAACCGAATCCTCAACTACCTCCAATAGAGAAATGTAGTATGTCCAGCCTTTTGAATGGTTATTGTCATCCTGGCTAAGTGTGAACAGCATTCAGTAGTATGTAAAAGGGTTAATTTGTATTTAGTAGGCCCTGCTCAGTGGTTTCACATTAGCCAGCAGTTCAAGAGAGCCAGCCTCTTTAATGATCTGAGTGTTGGACCATGACTCTGGAGTTGTTGCTATGAGCCGTCAAGTTGTTTCTGACTTATGGAGACCTTAAGGCAAGCCTTTCATGGGGTTCACTGGGACTGAGAATATGTGTCTTGTCCAAGATCCAATGGGTTTCCATGGCTGAGTGAGGAATCAAACCTTGGTCTCTAGAGTCATAGTCCAATGCTCAAACCATTTAACTACTCCTGACACCTGGGCTTTAAACCCCACTCAACTATGGGGAAACCCATGGAAATGGACACTGGGTGAGACACACTTTCTTAGCCTCAGAGGAAAGAGAACAAAACTTGTCAAGAAAACCCCATGGAAAGTTTTCTTTAGGTTCACCATAAGTAAGATGTGCAAAGGGCATTGATGCACTTCAGGGTAGTTCCTGATACATATCTAGACACTGGCTAGGAAGTGCAAGAATGCAATAGGAGCTCTCGATGTGCATCAGAAGTGCCTAGTGCCCATCAGAAGTATCTAATGCACACAAGAAGTACCTGATGCACATCAAAAGTGCCTGATGCACATTGGAGCACATTTGCCAATGCCCAGATGTGCATCATTGCAATTAACTAGTGTTTTTGCAACATAGTTATGGATTAGGAAACTTAGGAAATACAGACTGTGATGTAGGATCTTGGCCAATATTTGCAAATATTGGAAAGGTCTTCTAAAAAGCAAGAACTTTGATGTGAATCAAAAGAAATTCTTTCTCAGTCCTCCACTGTGTTATCAGTGCTAGAGTTACAGCTACTGGACAAACCAACTGTGCTTCTGGCAAAGACAACTGTATCCCTCAGAAAATAAAATTAAGACTCTGCTTCTGTGAGCTGTCTCTTCTCCATGGATTCTCTCTAACCCTCTGCAGAGAGGTAGCTGGAATTGCCACCAAAGCTATAAACCATGCTTCTGCCCTGCTCAAGTGCAAAATCGACCAGAATATATTTCATCCTCCTCTTGCCAGGGCCTAAAGCATCCAGATGAATATGTGCTTAACTATTTATAATTGACCTTTGCACAAAAGAACATGAAATTTTTATAGCCCAAAGCTTCATTTATTAACTTTACTGGAGTGTAAAATATTGCTGTTTGCTATAAATTTTGAGCAGGACAAACAATATATATGCTAATTAACCGCGTCATAGCCTTTCGGCATGGATCTGCTGGCCAGCCATTTTTAACACATGCACAAATTGCAGGGAGGAAAGGAAGAGAACTTGAATAGACAGGAACAGCAAAGTGACAATTGAGTCGTTTGATACTCTCCGTTCAAACAGGGAAGTCTGAAGTGGTGAATTAATGGTGTTCATTATTCCAAGTCCATTTCCTTTTCATTTCCTTTATAAATTAGCCCAGGTAACATGCTGCGTCCCAGAGAGAGACGATCGGAGGCGACCTGCAGAGCCGCACCTGCAAAGTACTGAGATTGTTCCAATCTCTTTTTCTCTCTCTCCCCTTTTTAGACTACTTTTACATTCCATTCCCATTCCCATTCCCCCCTTCCTCCTCCAAGAATATGTTCCTCAGTACTTTTCTTTGTTTTCAGTCTCCTCACATCTCCAGCTTGTAAGGAATGGTGAGGCTGTCATGTTCCTCTTTCTACCACATGAAAAGTGTCATTGAACTGTCTCTCTCGCCTTGCTTCCATCAGTGATTTTCCTTACGTGGTGTGGATCTGTGGGAGATGGTGGGGCTTATGTCAGTGGGGCAGTGAATCAATGCCACATTTTGGTTCACATCTCAAAGGAGCTGTCCAAGGTGAATTAGACTATTTGGAGGTATGGTTCAGCACTTCGGAAAGCTCCTTTAAAACTAGACCAGATTTGGTGTCCCACTGAAGTTGCTGTGTGTCTCCAAGTCATTTCTTGACTTATGGCAGCCCTAAGGTGAACCTATCATGGGGTTTTCATGGCAAGTTTCTTCAGAGTGGGTTTGCCATTGCCATCCTCTGAGGCTGAGAAAATTCAGAGATGTAGCCATGTTAGTCTGGAAAATCAGTATGCAAAAGGATCTTGTAGCTGAAAGAAAGAAGTTAGTGATATGGGATTTCGTAGACTTAAGCCTACTTTCTCAGATGCATATAATTCTGTCTCTGGATTCTCTTCTTCAAACATACTTCTGAGAAAGCAAGGTCAAGTCTATGAAAGTTCATGCTACTAACTTCTTTCTCAAGGCTAAGAGAGTGTGACTTGCCTAACTGTCTGAGCCAGGATTTGAACCCTGGTCTCCAGAGTCCTAGTCCAATGCAGTTGGGGAAGGTGAGGGAAGTCCCTGCATGGTTAACTGTCTCTGCTCTGTGATCAGAGACACTTTTAGCAATGGAATTTGTCCTGATAACATTCTGAGAAAAATGCATGAACAACATCCCTACTGTAGGAATATTGCCCATAACCCCCTTCCACATGCAATGTATGCACAGAAGGTCCAGATGGCTAATGTTCATGAGAAGCTGGGAGTCGTTTGGTCTATGAGAACTGCAGGAGACCCAGCTGACTCATGCAGAAGTCAGCAATTTTGGGGAGCTTCTGGCCTCCATTTCCCTTCAGGGGGGCCATTTTGAAACAACCAAGCCAGGCTCACTGGGAAAGCAGCTGGTCTGCCACTGTTGTGTGACTGCATGAATGAGAAGGCATGGCGGGGAAATGGCAGGGAGGTGTACAGAACCAGATCCAAATATAATTGCCTTTT